ACAATAAAATGAAAGGGGACAAAACTGTGAGTCAGTGTTCATTTTGTCTGACATTTACATGGACAGGTAATGACTTATTTACAAATTAATAATATGGGTCTATTTCCTCCTTCCAGACATCAACATTACAAGTCAGTGCCACTGTATTAGTCCACAATGATGACAGACATAAAAAAAATACCCATCTTCAGCTGGTTTTCCATCTAGCTTTTGTTGTAGAACTCTAAATAGCTGAAGACTGTACTTACATAAGAGAACGTAAGCAAAATATCAGCCTAGAGGATGTATTAGAAAACATTTTAGACACATCCTAAAAATATCCTGCAGCAATAAAAACATTAGGAATTATTCATCTTTCATTTTCTTAAAATCAGTCTTCAATTAACTTCATAACTCACATCTATAATATTTAGGTTTGTTTTTCATGGTATATTTTAAAAATTGTACTAGCACCTGCAAGAGATTTTTCCTAACACTATACTTACATAAGATAAACATAAAGTACTTACACTGCTCCCAGCATATCAAACAATAAATAATAGATTCTCCTGACAGGACTTTGATGACCTGGCAAAGCCCGAGTGCTTTCAGCCAAAATCATATGAAACCATAAATCACTCTTTATTTTATAGAATATTTCAAAATGGATTCCTGCTTTCTACCTTGAAAGTCATTTCATGTGTTATTTATAACCACTGAAAACCAGAATGGAAAGAAAATTGCATAGAACTAGGAAATTTACTGTGACTGCTTTTATAAAGAATAACTCCGTTTTAGAAAAAAATTAGAATTACTGGCAGACAAACTTGTCAATACAACCACCTTTTAAAGAGCCATATCCTTTTATTTTACAACTTTGCTAGCAGTTAATACAGGCCTTCTGGAGTATCAGGGACAACTTTAAGAAGACTGAATATAGTCCAATCCACTGAAGAAATTCAAAGGTAAGGATGATCCTGCATCCTTACCCATAATACTTATAAATATGCATGGCCATGTCGCAAATCTTTGCACTTACAGTGGTTTCTGCCATAAATTCAACATTGCTGAATGTTTTGCCTATGAATTTTCCTATTTGACAATTGCCTAAAGACAAAAAGCTCTGCCACTGACTCCTAGCTCTGAGCATCAGTCTCAAGTAGATGCCTGTTTTTTCAGACAAGTATTTATCAAAGAACTCATAATGTTCCCTCTCACTATAAATGTTCTACCACTGTAATGCCTGCACTAATTTAAATGCTGACCCCACAAAAGTTTATCAATAATGAACTCAATTAAATGAACATGACTAATGCCCACCTTGAATTCCTCAAGCAAGCACTTATATCAGCCCTCGAAATCTAGATCGTACAGGCTTTTGGACAAATAACAATCACTGAATATCACTTCCCAAAGAACAGACCTTCCAAAACACCAGAACTGCTTCGAGGATTGATGATATTGCATAATACCTGCTTTGGCACAGAATCATGCAATAAATCCATTCCTGTTTGGTTAGTGGGTAACTGGACCATAGTACTATATTCAAAAAGCAAGAAAGTAGGGATACGAGAGACCTGGGGTGGGCAGGGAGGAAAAAGTGACGTCAGTGCTGCAAACAAAAAGAGGGTGGAACAAAAGAACAATATCTTAACAGCTTTAATTTTCAGATTGTGTTGCCATCAAAAACCTCAAGATGGGCCCACCAGTTTTACATCATACGATAACCTAGTTTTCCTTAGAACTATGGATGTAAATTCCACGCCATTAGCAGAACTTTTGCTGCTGACCCCATCAGGAATAGTATTTTTGTGCTTCACATCCATCTTGCTATCTAAACTTGCCCACACAAGACAATGTTTAACCTGGATTAAGGAAAAGTAGTTTCTTCAATAAGCAAGTTTACTTTTCCCATAGAAACATTGATGAAGTAACTGAATTTAAGCATTAAATGGAGCACTGATGACTAAAATTCAGTGTGAGGTTCCATTTTCATTAAGCTTACTACAGGAAAACAGTTAAATGAGCCTAAAATAAAAACAAATACAAATCTAAAGTTACCACCCAATCTAATTACTAAAATTAATAATGCACAAATTATAAAGAAAAAGGCCACACATGCAAAAAAGAATGCATTTACTACTATGAAGTTAAAAAAAATCATTAACACAAACATTCCTGTTATTACAACATGACAATTAAATACGCATAGGTCCACTCAGCACTGGCCATAGCAGCAGCAGAGTCAAAGACAAGGCTAAGGTATTCCCTCAGGAATCATTTCCCAGAAGACAGATGAAAGTTTTACTTTGAATACTCTTTCATACTGAGTAATTGAATATAGATTTTAAAAAAAAAAGTCAGTCAACAGTGTTAGTCACCATTTACGTACGTCCTTAGTAAAATGGAATGCAAAGAAAATCAAAATAGTTCCTAAAATGCAGAATTCTGAAAATCTTGAAAGTAGTTATAGCAGTACACTCTACAAGTGAGCAAAAATGTATGCTTTAATACAAATCCACACCACCACCACCATCAAATTCAGCAATACTTCAGGAAGAATTTATCTCAAAGAATTTCCTTCCCCCAACATCAAAGCTCTAACATTACAAGATCATTCCAAAGCAGGCAATGGGTGTCGCGTGAGCAGCTCTCACTGAGACAGATCAGCCGGACGTGCCTTTGCTGGTCAACTACCAGTTTCAGGTGAATTCTTCTAACAGCGTGCCTAGGTCTGCACAATCTCTTCTGTCTGTGACATCCCACGACCAACCACCACTCCGCTGCAGTGAGCAGCCTAGCACTACCTAACGCGTTGCATCCCTCAAGCACAGCGTGTCGCGGCCATGACGGACAGCACACGAGAGCAGGGTGCTGCTGCGGGGCGATTCTCTTGGCCTGCGCTCTGTGCCCATGAGACCCCACGGCACAAGGGTTGCCAGAGGAAGCCAGATAGCATTCTACCTTCACCAAAAATCAGAAAAGCTCCAGAAGAAAAATTTGGCAGTAGGTTTTTACTCTTCCATTAGAATCATGAGAAGACAAAATAAGTTTATGTAAGTTACAGTCAGTTCTTTTAAACAGGTAACACCTTCACTAGCTTCCTTAGCAGCTAGAAGAGCTACTTCTCCTCCTGCTATTTTCACCTTCTGGTTTCCTTAGAACAGCTAAATAGCCTAACTTTAATTTTATAAACTTCTGAGTTTCCTTTAACTTTCTACATCATCTACAAACCCCCTATTTTTCTCATGGCAGTAAAAAATTAATTATCCTTAAAACCCACAGAAGTTCTGCAATTTTTAATATTCCACCCTTTTAGTTTGGTACTTCAGCCTTTCATTATTTACCATTCTTCTCACACACTCAAAATACTCACAAACCTGAACGCACATGAAAATGTCAAATTCATTACTAGGGCTTCCACTCCATTCAACAAGGTCAAGAATACCGAATGGATCTCTTAATTTGTTCAAGAACCTTAATTTTGCATTTTCAGTAGAGTTATGGTCAATGGGGACAACATGTTTTTATAATCTTCCACAACCTCCAGATCTAAATCAGAAATCTTTTCAGCAATTATATGTACACTGTAAGGGGATCACTTTTTTTCTGGCAAACATTGAAAACAGCAATTACATTAAGAAACGCACTCGTTCTCTTCCAAATTGCTAGAAAAGTAGTCTTAAATCTGAAGGGCACAATTTGACAGATTAGCGAACTCCAAAAACATAGTTCCTGATTTCACATGGAAAACAATAACATTTAGAATTGTCTTCCCTTTTGTGCTCCAATCAACATCCTGAACTGACTGTGGAAGCTCTTCATAAATGCAAACAAAATCTGGTGGTAAATTTGGGACCTATAAACAATAATGCATTTTAAACATTTTAAGACTAGAGCTCAATGCTGAATTTAAAGTGCGGGGCTTATCAAGACCACTTAGAACCAGGCCACTGTCACTGGGTTCCGTAGGAGAGAAATCTATTTCAGTACTTAACAATTATGATGATACACAAGCAGCAAGTATCTTACTTCTGAAGAAATACTTTAGAATTTGTCTTGCAGTGACAGTGCTGTGGTATGTTTCAGTGAGACATTCAAGATCTCCATCATTATTCACCTGAACAGGAAACACGATGAACTTGTATAGGATATAGAAAGTGTAGGCAGTTCCAGAAAGTTCAGAGTTAAGTCTCTGACATGTGCAATCATTCAATCCTATGTTTGTTCTTATACCGAGGACTACACTTTAATGAGAAGGACCAAAAAAAAAAAAGTTTTGGGTTATTTGTAAGCACGCATAGAGATTAGAAAAAAATTTTAAGAGACAGAAGCTCTTGTATTATAAAAAATAATTTAAAAAGAGAGATTATCAGCATATAGCATATATACTGCAACAACACGGAGTTTAGCACTTCAGAACTATTCTCAGTGTATACAAGTAAGCTTGACCAGCAGGAAGGTATTTCAGGAAAAAGGGCTGCCAAGGCTGGCCGAGTCAGGCCAGGCGTTATAGAGCACTTAACCTTAGGTGTGCAGGGGCAACAGGCATACCTGACCGGCTGCCGGCTCACAGGGACGGGGTTCACGGCGAACCCCCTCTCAGTCGAGGCCCCGCACCACACGTACCTCCGTGCCACTTCTATTTCCAAGCAATGGAAATCTCGACCCTGGAGCCCTGGCGGCAGCCCTAGAGCGGCCTGCGAGTCCCCGGGACGCTGACGCAGCGCTCTCCCCACAGGTATCCACAGAGCCCCAGGCAGCCCAGGCC